TAGTTTCCTTGATTAGGAGATAACCCTAATTATGTTTGTCTATATATATTAATCTCATTGTACTTGTAAACATTTGTAGCACCTAAATAAAGAAAAACCTAGTTGCCCCCGTGGACTAGCACGATCAATCTAATCGTGTGAACCACGTAAATTCTTGTGTTCTTCTCTTGTTTTTTGGGTTGTGCGTTGGGTTGTGCGTATTGCGTGTGTAACGTTTGTCCTAACATCCTTATGTGAACAGTTTCTATCGGTGAGACAAGAAGGATCAGTTCAAGAATATAGAAGGAGATTTGTCGAATTTGCGGCACCGTTAGACGGAATTTAGGAACAGGTTTTCTTAAGTCAGTTCATTAATGGATTAGAGGAATCCATTAAAGTGGAATTACGGCTCGTGGATCCGTTAACTCTCAGTGAAGCAATGGAGATAGCCATGAAGATCAAATTGAAAAACAAGGTATTAGCAAAAGAAAGGAATATGGGGTATAACAAGAAGACAGGTACGTTTTTTCATTCTAATTCGGATTTGAGAAGCAATGTTTCTAATCATTCCTCTAATAGCGTCGGTAATTCGGTTAATTCATCGACGTTTACAAATATGTCGGTTCCCGGTTTTCGGCGTTTGTCTAATCAAGAGGTACAACAAAGAAGATTGTTGGGTTTGTGTTATCGTTGTGATGAAAAATGCGCACCGGGTCATAAGTGTAAGAAGAAGGAGATGAATGTGTTGTTAGTTCAAGAGGATTCATTCGATGATACCGAACCAGAGGCGGAGGAAAGAGTCTTTAATGCGGCTGAAGTAACGGATAAAGTGGAGGTACATTTAAATTCTGTGGTGGGTCTGACTAATCCTAAAACGATGAAGATGGAAGGAAGAATTGGAGGACAAAAAGTTGTGGTACTAATTGATAGCGGTGCGACGCATAATTTCATATCCTACGATTTAGTGAAAAGACAGAAGTTAAAAGTGGAAGCTACAGGTGAATACACTATCACTTTGGGTTCCGGAAATATGGAGAAGGGAAATGGTATTTGCAAAGGGGTAACGTTGTTTTTACCAGAAGTTGAAATAAGGGAAGATTTTTTGCCTTTGGGTTTGGGTAATAGTGACGTGATCTTAGGGATGCAATGGTTGGAGTCTTTGGGAGCAACGTATGTTAACTGGAAGTTACAAGTGATGAAATTCACTTGTGGGGGAAAATCCGTCACGTTAAAGGGTGATCCATCTCTGGGACGTTCGATGGTGTCGCTGAAAGCTATCGTAAAGGTGATCAACCATGAAGGACAGGGCGTGTTGGTGGAATTGGGTACTTGTTCGGTATTTTCGGAAGAAATGGCAGAATCAAATATTGTTTTGGATCCACTACTAAGAGAATATGAATCAGTTGTTAACATGCCGCGGGGATTACCACCGGAGAGAGGTAGGGAGCATGGTATTGTGTTAAAGGAAGGGACTGAAACGATTAATGTTTGGCCATACCGTTACCCTCATTATCAGAAAGATGAAATTGAGAAATTAGTAAAAGAGATACTCGAGGCAGGAGTTATTAAACCGAGTATGAGTCCTGTCTCCAGTCCAGTATTGCTGGTTAAGAAAAAAGACGGAAGTTGGCGATTTTGTATCGATTATCGAGCTTTGAACAAGGAATGTCGGATTTTGAAGCTTCTTGGGAGAATCTTGAGGCACTTCGTCAGCTATTTCCTAATTGTCACCTTGAGGACAAGGTGAAATTTTTGGGGGGGAGTATTGATAAACCTCCTTTGAGGTTTACTTATAGAGGAAGAAATTAATTTTGAGTGGGTTTAATTGCTGTTTCCTGTTACGAATAAGAGAGGGGCAGTTTGGTAATTGTGTCTAGCTTAAATAGTGAGTTGTTGGTAGTAGTCGGGTATTCTGTTTTGTCATTTTTCTGGTGAATATTGTTGAAGCGTAAGCTTTGGGAGAGAATCCCAGACCTCTCGAAAGTCTGGGAGCTGTATCAATTTGGAATTGCAATAGATTGGCCGACAATTTCATTCCTATTTGTTCCAATTGTCGATTCATAGCTATCGCGATTCTATTTCTGTGTGTTTACGTCTATGAATCTGGCTAGAGTTATGCATTCAGTTCACGATTCAAGCTAGGGTATAACACATACACACAATTCCATCCAAGATTTTTATCCCTCTGTCATCTAATACTTCTACAGTACCCACCTTTTTCCTCCTTCAGGCAGTCCGTATCCAACTCCTGCCTCCTGGGACCTGAGGGATGGATGCTCTTTTACCCCTTGGAAATAAATGACTTCTATTTATTGATAAAAATACAAACAATCCTTCGAAAATAAAGTATATATCATACCCCAATTGTATCACTACCTAGGGTCAATCTAGCTCTTCAGTTACCAACTCTAATTAAATAGGTAGTTGACATATACCCATGGGTATGAACAGTCATCACCATATGATGAGGCGGACTTCAAGAATCATGTGCTGTAATAAATGTTGATACATTCTAACATTCACATACTTCTATATACCATATATTTTTTAAAAGTCCAATCCAAAATCCAAATGCTTTTATTGTTCTGTTGAATGTTTAAAATGGAGTCTAAAATATAGAAGCATGCTCATATCTACAATGAACAGAACATCACATCCTCCAACTTTTACCTAATAAACAAGAAAGTTATCCCTCAAAATAAGAGCACATGAAATTTAACGTATATGAATTGAATTGTAACACCCCCTCCGTTTGATATTGTTGTTTGTTGAAGACGCGTTTTTCTTCATTATGTTCATTAGATGGTGGTGTTTCTATGGTACACTCATAATACTTATAACTTATGTACTTCGTAAAATTGATCTCGCTTGTTAAATCAACAAGCCAAGTCTGTATCCTTTTGAGCATCTTTTTCAGAAAACAGAAATGAAAAATCACACATGATAATGGTGGTGCAAACCTGGCGTACTGAAGAGACCAGTAAAAGTACTGGCAAATTTTCTCGAGAATGGTGGTGCTTATTTCAGGAAAAGTCACTTCCCGATGCTCAGTTTCCGCAAAACCACCTGAATCAAAATGTATATATAGATCCTATATTAATTGAACAAAGTACCAAATTCCAATTAAGAAGTTGAGATTCTTCGATTACGATCGCTGACTTGGAAAATTGAAAACGATTAGCGTTAGGGTTAGGGTGAGAGATAAAAAAAAGGAACCTGGAGAAGTGAGCATGTTACGGATGGTTTGGGAAACCATGGCTGCATTCTTGTCGATGACGAATTCGAAACCCTCTGCACTAATCAGCTTCACCGTGTCTTCCTTCTTCATTGTTTCTCCCATTCTCACACAACTTCCCGATGGCTTTTCTGTTGCACGGCGATTATATGTATAATCCGACTACGACCTCTTTAAATCTGATTATTAATTTGTCAAAAATTGATTAAAATTCTTCGTAGAGATAAATGCAAATTTTGGTTTTTCAAGGGAGTGTTATAAGGAATGGTTATTTGCTCCGATCCGGTTCACCCAATCTGATCAAGGGATGGGGATTTTTTGATAAAATGGGTTTTGGGGATGGGTCAGGGATTCCCGGTAGACTCAAATCAGAGCGGGGATACCGGTAGAATCAACTTAAAAAATATTATTTATGGGGTTTGATAGGGATTGACTGGGGTTTGACTGAGGATTAATAGAGGTTTAACTGGAGACGAAATATTAATCCCTGTATTCGTTGGGAACCGGGCCGAGACCAAAACCAGGGCCAGGGATTATAAAACCGGTCCATCCCTGCTCAACAGGAGTGTTGATGAGTAGTTTGGAAATTGAACTCAATCATTTTTTTATAACCATCACCTTAATTAATTATATATTTATATTTTATTAATTTGTTTTATTTTATATATTCATATTTAAAAAATATTATTTTATTATTTTTGTGCTATTTAATTATTTTATTCTTTTGATTTTATGT